TCGAGGACATCGCTGTCAATGGCGATATGTGCGATCCCACGGACCAGGAGGTGCTCGACGCCGAGGACTACATGCGCAAAATCATGAACCAACTTGCTATATTCAAGGTTCTGCACCCAGCAAAAAAGCAAGCAGGGTCCTGGCACGTATCGCGGTCCAGAAAGAGAAGACATCAAGCGAAGTGCGCTGTTACACGAAGTGAAACCAAGATCGACCACGCAAACTTTTTCAAGGCCATGAAAATGGAAGATATATTGAACATTTCTGGGTCAAGCTACGCCTACGAGATCTGCATGCCAGCAGTCCAGTGTTAAAGGATCCGCAACTTGAAGGACGCGGCTATTGACGGAGCTGCCATGACCAAAAGAAATTCAGTCGATTAAATGATGTATTACGAAAGAATTCGCTTTTCAGATCTGGGCTCATACGATAAGTGCCGCTGCGCCGGAGACTGCTTCTGGGATAGCTGTGACAATGCGGAATCTTTGCATACTGCACCCCAAAGTGCTGCAACCTTAACGGGCGCTGTAGCAATGCGCCTGCCCTACGCAAAACGCTGAAGCTATTCGACACTGGTCGATTCAGGTTGGGTGTCTATACTACTACCGATCTGGATGTTGGAGGTATCGTTGGTGGGTACACCGGGGAGCTCCGTGAATGTCAGTGCTACTTCTTCGCCAGCCTGACCAAGCTCTAAAGCACAACAGCAAGTATACACTACTGTACAACACAAAAGCTGCCATTAAAAGTTTGTGTACGTGGGTGCGATGAACTGTAGCTCGATTTGCCTGTTCATCAGTCACTCCTGTGACCCGACAGCTGAATTCGTCGAAATGCAGAACCGCAGAAACATGAAGGTGTTAGTCACGATGGTGAAGTCTCTCTTGGGCACGGCAGTGGAAGTTTCTGCGGGATTATTATTGTAGCAAAGCCACTTGGACTAGCATACGCTTGTGATGTAATGACCGGCTCTTGCAGCCGTTGAGCGTTCATACTGTGAGAATAGAGAGAGCCTTGGGTCGTCCTCTCATTTCTTGAAAACTGTGTTCAGCAATTGCAAAATGAGTTCAGACGAAGTGTAGATTATACACATCTTGCGCCACGCTAGTCGCTAGAAGCGATGGGAACAAGTTGAAAGCAATCTGAACCTTCTCCATCACATAAAAAAATACATGATGAACTGAAATCTTGGATTAAATCTAAAAGTCGAATATAAAGCATTGTGTTGTGCCTTGTTTCCACCCGCCAGTGCGTACTGCACTACCAATACCTTGCTGTGACCCATAAATAGAGTCTGCGAAGGGACATTAGCGCAGCCTCGTACCGGTACTATGTCTCCAGTGAAACGACAAAGAGTGAGACTAGGTGTAAGCGCCGAGAGCGATGCGACACACCAACGACGACAACAGCGTAGTCCACGTGGTTCGTCTTGTACGTCGACACGGAGCACGAAGCTCTCGGGTGGAAGCATCATTCGTAGCATTAGAGCTTATTATTGTTTAAAGAGAAACACGCGGTGAAGTACCAATATGTACTGGCCCCCGACGGTTTAATAATTCATCCTAGTGACCCATTCCCCGGTACACGACGCGATGCTTTTATTTTAAGCAATGTGGACTCCTTGCTTTGGCGGAAGACTACCGTAGCTGTAAAGACAAGCACTTCATAATGCATGGGTATCATGCTTACGCTCAAAATAATCATCTGGTGGCTCCCTTTAAAGCAGCCGTGCTTTCCGCTGACGAGAGGGAGTTCAACAAGCGCATGAGTAGTATTCTTGTAAGTGTTGAATGGGGATTTGGTACTGGGCATTTGTGGACTTTCACAAAAACCAAAAATTGCTGCTGCAGAGGGTTGGGAAAATGAAATCCGTGGGTGGTCCAAATTTTAAATTTTGAGCAGTAGTTGCACAGTAAACAACCATATGTAACCTTCCCCCTCCCCAATGCCAAAATCACAATTATTTGACTTTATTTGTTGAGCTTCTTAGCTAATCTGGCTAGAAATACCCATTCGGCGTCATCATCGCCATAAATGAGTCCGCTTTTTTTTTTCGCGATCTTGCTGCAAACTTGTTCTTCAAGTGCTAGTCGAAGCTCTTATATGTCAAGCTGACGATCTCGCTGCATATCTCTACCTGACTGATCTTTCGTTCTGAATTCTAGATATTCAATGATAGCTTTCGTGCTTGTACGTTTGGTTTTTACAGCTTTTAGCTTTGCTTTCGCCGTCATCTTCTCGGGCACGTCGCACCCCAGCCCTTGCGCCACGCACTACTTGGTTGGGTGTAGCTTCACGCCTTGCAGCCTCTTTCTTTTCTTTTTGTTTGCCAGCTTTCTCCTGTACATGGCCGTCATACTGCACACATGACAAAATAATGTAATTATAACTAGCGATATGTAAATATGTTAATCATAATTTTATCAATTACAGACAGCGCGTATGGAGATACTCCCGTTTGGAGCACTCATCGGTAGTTCCAGATGCACGGAGAGACTCCATTTCCCCGTGCCGAAATGTGTCGACGAGGACGGTAAAGCGACGTCTGCAAGCTTTCCCGGCTTTCGTTGAGACTGAAATCGCTTGCTTTACCCACTACGATGTTAGTCCGTAAGCAGCGACTTGTTTGAAAAAGAGCACATCACTAGAAGGGAGAAACGAAAGCCTTTATTTCGTTTCGGTTTCGGTTGCTTTTATGGGTCATCATGAGCCGTCCTGGCACCCTCAACGTCAAGTGAAGGAGGAAGTGGCTCCTGAGCTTCACCCGACATGACCGCTGTGCCTTGTAAAGCCGCCAGTTCTGATTGTTCCTCTTGATTACATATATACTATAGACAAGTTTCCGTTGAACACAGATCACTATGACCAACTAACCGCAATGTATCCGGTTCTTACAATGATTTTCTACAGTTTCATAATAGTAGCACAAGGTATCTATTGAATAAGGCCTGATAATATTATTAGCATTTAGTTAACCACGCATTTTGCTATCATCACTACATAGTATCATTGCTTAAAAAGTGATACTATTTCAATAGTAGTAGCTCTAGCTACTAAAAAGCCAGATTTTACCTTACATGTACTATTAATACCGAGCGGTCAAACATACTGTACTATATAGACGATGCGTGGTCCACACTATTTATCTGACGTAACGTGAGCATAATGTGTGGACTCTATATTCACGTATTGCCACAGAGTCCGGTAAAGCTCATCGAGTTGTTAGATCGCTCCAAGGTGAGCGCTCTGTCCGCGTGTGTTTGTGTGTGAGCATGACACTGGACGCCAACGCGCTGTCTCACCTAAAGGTTAGATCTGCGTGTACACTTTCACTTCTATTGCAGCTCTAGCTCAGCCGTTATGCGTGTCCAGGTGAAGGATCTACAGCGCGAGCTAAAGAAGCGTGGCCTCGATACCAGTGGACTCAAGGCTGGGCTGCTCCAGCGGCTGAAGGAGCATCTGCAGCAGGTTCTGGCAGATACTTGACGAATCTCATGGACATAGTCAATGCTGATAGCTGCTGGTGTTGCTCGTTGCGCGCAGGAGGAAAAAGAGACGGCACACGAAGAGAACATCAAGGCATCTAGTGACAAGAAGGAGGAGACGGATCACAAGAGCGAGAAGAAGGGCGAGGAAAACAAAGAGAAAAAATCTGATAAGAAGGGCAAATCAGATCCGGAAAAGGATGCTGGGAGTAATGATGGCGAAAATGAAGATAAACCGAAAGCGCTGAAACGTGGCGCAGATGCACTCGAAAAGGACGACAATAAGGACTTGCCAGACATAAAGAAGCCCAAGCTGGCTAAAGAGGCGAAGAATGGTAGCCCGCAGCCTGAAGATGAAGATGGTGATAAACCGATGCCGGCTGTGGATGCTGAAAAAGCGGTTGATGGAGATTCTAGAGTAACGTAGGGTGAACTGTGTTGGCGGCGTTTTTGTGTTCGTTGATTTGCTAACCGGACGTTCATCTGATGTGTGTTGTTAGCAGGGAAAAGGAACTCAGAACTACACTTCGTATCGATAATTTTGTCAGACCGTTCACGCTAAATGCCGTCAAGGTTAGTCCCGAAAAACTGTAAGTCGTGGTCGTCATGTGACGTTTTATTCTTTCTAGACACTTGTGCAAGAGCTTGGTAATTTTGTGGAAGATGGATTCTGGATGGATGCTATCAAGACGCATTGTTTCGTGACGTATCCCACCTCTGAAATCGTGCGTCGGCTGCTCTCATCATTGCCCTCACGTATCTCTAACCCCCATCTGCGTAGAACACCACTATCGAAGTGGAGACCAAAGCGGAGCCCGAAATATTTTCCAAAAAAACACGAACACCACTATCGAAGTGGAGCCCAAAGTGGAGCCCAAAATATTTTCCAAAACAATCACACCCCGATAGAGATGGAGACGACGCGGTTGCGAACAACGGAGCTGCTGTCAAAGAGCCTGTCCAGATCGAGGACATCGCTGTCAATGGCGATATGTGCGATCCCACGGACCAGGAGGTGCTCGACGCCGAGGACTACATGCGCAAAATCATGAACCAACTT